TTAAAACCATTTCGTAAAGATGCATGATCGTTGATTATATTCCATGTCCACATGCTTCAAAGCCTTGCCGCTTTATGCCAAACAAATGTAGGACAACTCTGAAGACCAGCAAATCCAACGGCACCGGTGTTGGATGGCAGTGCACCTGCCAGCATGATGTGCTTCCCATTCTGTTGTGCGCGCAGTTGGAGACATTCCATATGCTATTGTGGTTGTCATTATCATTGACTGGGAGTCCGTGTCAATTTGCTGGTAGTTCGACATGCTGAGATAAATGCTTCTAAATGAATAAGAAATGTCAAATCACATAACACCTCCAACCTTGATTCTACATTCAACGCGGCCATGTCAGTCTGGTTGCAACGCACAATAGATTCTTGCATGCCAGCTTACAAGCTCAAGACTTGATCCCTGATATGATCTGAGGCTTAATTGGACGTCAAGCTCCGCCTTTAGGGAAGCAAAGCAAAGTTCATGCATTTCAGCAAATGTGCAAACATCCAAAGGACCTGAGTGAGGAGAGTTTGGAGAGAGGAGGGAAGATACTTCAACAAGAGCTTCGTGACTCAGAGTCAACTAATTGGCATATTTTAAAGAATCAAATATCATCAAACTTCAAGTTCTGAAGATGTGAAGCAACGATGTAACGAAGCGTACAGAAGACGTGCCAAGGAGGGGGTCAAGTGAGATGTGATTGCGCCTTAATTAAGCGGACTCGTCATGATCTTACAGATATTATCATTCAGTTCATGAGAGTCTTTAGATAAAGTACATTACTCTGAGAGCCCAGAAGTCTTGAAGAGAACATTGATGATACGATTGACTTAGTCGTCGGAAATGTAGGATGACGAACTCATGCTGATTGATCCACTTCTGCAAGATCACCAAGTAAGAATTTGTGCTGGATTCTTGATGCCAAGTGTACCTTGCGATCATCTTCTTACTCGGCGGTCCTTCATCTGTGCTCATGGCGGCAGCTCGTTGACCTTGCTGCTGTGCTCGCCCGGCGGCTCAGCATGTCGGTGTGCGATTGACGATGGGAATGATGGGGAGCGTTTCCCCACCCTGTCGATGAGGGTGGGTCATCAAAATTGTTTTAGATGATACAAATTAGCAGTTATGAACCGTTACACAGTACAACTGTTTGTACTATGTATTCGAATAAACAATTCATTGTCGTTAAAACAAATGGACACGCCAGTTCAAAATATGAAGCACCCCTACCACTGATATTACCGAGCAACACCCCTCAAAAACCAAGGGGTACACTACCACCGGTATCCTATGAGAACAGCATACGCATTCCGCCCGGGCCACTCCGATCGCTGCCGCGCCGTGACGGACTCAGTGGTCCGTCACCGAGTATTCAAAGTTAAGTTAAAAACACCGGCTCGACCTAAAAAAAATCCGGGCGGTCCGATCAGCCTGGCAGCCACGTTACTGGCGGCAAGCCGAAGCTGACCAGTGTTTAGTGGAATCTAGAGCCTGACTGAGGCTGCTCCGGCAGTAAAAATGGTAGAAGTATTTCAGTCAACACGGGATTTTAGTTTTACATATCTCATTTTACCGGAGCGCCGGAGGATCGAAAAGAGCTCTTTACGCCTTTTCGTTATCAAGACGATATCTTTCGGAGTCAAGTGGGTCAATGTAGGAGGGACTGGCTGATATTGAGTCATCGAGCTCCGGGTCTACCGAGGCCAAAGTACCACCCGTCTGATGGCCCAAAGATTGGCTAACGCCGGGGAAAGTACCGGGTGGTGCTTTAAGGATGACAATAATCAACCTGAACATCCGATGCATCAGCAAGCGCTCAACCGAAAGACCACCCCTCCTGTAGCCTACAAAGGACCGGGTAGCAAAAGTGACCACGGCAGTGAACTTTTCTTTTTTCCGGATGATCTTGCCCAGCCGCAGCGTCCTTCCCATCCCTCTTCCTCCTTGTGGGCGCTCGTCAGTCTCAGCGTTACTTTCCTGTGTTGACTCTACCTCCCTCTCCTTGTGAGCAAGGAATATTGCCTTAGTTGCCAACTCCTGGACAAGTCTGAGGGAAAGATGGGAAGACCGAGTGCCTCTGAAACGAACAAGAAGATCGGGCTTTTGTTTGCCAATGCGGTGAGTGCTTGAGACCATGAGGGCCTTCTTCTGATCGTGAATGACTCGCAAGGTGACGGAAGATACGCATACGAAAAACATATCTTCATTTCAGATTGTCGATCGCACAGGAAGGCTTTCCCTGTTCGAGGCGCTATCCTCGCTCATGCCGTCAGCCATCCGTGACACAAACTCACATTCGGGAAGGAGCGGGTTGACACGGATAGAATTCAACAAGTATTTGGAGAAGCACGGCTTCTTCAAAGCAAGATCGAAGAGTCCGTATGACGAAGATCAAGAAGAGTCTCGTGGAAGGCGCGTTCAGGGTACCGACGTTCTCCCTCACCGCGCACTAGCCTGACTTGAACATGCAGGAGTGCGGTATTATTTCGTCTACAGGAGATGGCTCAATCCACACGATGCTGCTGACCTCAAACTTCTAGAGTCCAGATGGGGAAATCTTGAGCAATCCCTCTCAGCTGTCGACGGATCTGTAACTCGTGAAACATTCGTGTCAATTTGCCAAACCTTTCATGACCAATGGAAAGAAGAGCTTATGAAGAAATCCTCTCGTCGATCATCTCTGATGGAGACGCCGTCTTCCAAGTCAGAGCACGATGAGACGTCAAGCAGCCAAGGCCAGAAGTGGCATGAGGCCTCTGAGTGTACCTCTAGCACAACTACCGATCAAGATTCGGACGACAGTGCCGAAGTATTGGGTCCTCGGTATCTTTCTAGGAAGCGAACGTACGACCAGATGTGCTCGGACTGCAGAGTTCAACATCAAGTTGAGAGCGTGGACTTTAGCCTTGCAGCAGTCGACATGGAAGGAGGCCTACATGATAACATGAACCACTATGACTTCTTCCCAGAAAGCATGCAGCTTCATGAAGCAGATATCGAGGCCGTGGTTGGCCCCATTATTCTCGACAGCATTCATGATTTTGCAATCGGAAACGATTTTTTTCTGCATTCTCATCACTGAGCGGAACAAGGTGTGGGACATCCTACACACTCTCAGGCTGAATTTTCCTTACAATCCCTTGTTGCAATTCAATCTCCCTAGTCTTTCATGTCTTGATTTTTAAATTTGTATGCCATCCAAGATCCGAACTTCTTGCCCTTCTCTCAACAACTCAAGGCAGAAAGTGACCCCACCCTGGAAGTTGATTCTTGTCCACATCTCTTCGCTGTTCATATCCACTTCTCCAACTTCTTGATCGTCTTGTCGCATTGTGAATGATCTCTTAACGGTATCGAAGATGCACGTGATTACCATTCCATCGTAGCTATCAAACCTGAAGTCGGGTCAGACTTGAGCAGACTTGAATCATACCACCAACTTTTACCTTCCCTGCGATGAGACTTGCGCGGCAGATTCAGCCAGGAGATGGCATTGCCCGATGTGGTAGGTTATCAAGCTTATCAGCCCTCTCCAAGTTCTGTGCTTGAGAGGTTTAGTGCACAAGTGTAAGATTATATCTGAGTCCTTTCCAAGATGCAAGATTTGCAGTCTGAGTTGGTAGAGAAAGCCCAACTTGATATGAGGAAGAATGACGAGCGAGGCAGGTTGAGTCACAGGTGATGTAGCTCGAACATTTCGCCCTGAGTCACTGACAACGCCTGAAAACTGCTTGCTCGTCTCGAAACAAAAACTCTGGTGCACATACTTGTGGTCGTCAGAAGCGCTCGACTGCAAGAAACAGTCCATCTCCATCAAGTACTCCTGCTCAGTCCACCTGGTCAGGAGACATCTGCGGACAGCACAGGACAACCTTGGGTGGCTCCTTTCGTTTCGTCAACTTGATCGCATCGACTGTCTGGTCGATGACTACCGACCGGTGGAACATGACCTCCAAAGAATACTTCTGAAAGTCTTGAACGCTTGTCTTCTGAGAATATTCCCGTCGGTTGATCTCAGCTTCTAGCCAGTTCAACTCAGACTGCCCGACAGTAAGTGCCCTGCAATTGTTGTCTTGAGGCATGCAATCACCTTGAGATGCTCGTCTTGCTTCATCCACAGCGGACGCTTCTGGTCATTGATCTCTTGCAGCTTTGAGAGTATGACTTCCTTCCTGTCTTTGGCCTGTGTAATAACTTTCTGAGTCCTCTCTCCTGCCAAGTATCGGCGTCAGCGATCAACATGGGGTCGGCCAGCAGACCTTCCATCCTCTTGGAGTGGAGGTCGATCAAGGTCTCTTCCATTAGCTTCTCCCTCAAGTTCTCTCTGCCCTTGACAACCTCCTTTTCGCACAGAGCTGCTTCTTCCATGAACCTCTCTCTAAAGCTCTTCAGTTTCTGCAGCCATGAGGTGAGATGGCACTGAGCACCCTACTCTAACAGCTCTACCTGCAGCTCGGTTGTTGATACCTCGGAGTAGGTGGGGCTGAACTGGACTGAGCTCTTGGAGATGAGAACCTCGGCGGGATTCGAGGGTGTCAAGTCGATCATCGTGCCGTCTTCACGTTGACTGTTGAGATGTAACGATCAGGTGTTGCGACAAGTGCTGACAGAAATACTTGGACGAGTAAAAATGCGCATCCGAGCCCTCGTCCTCTCCTCTTCGAAACACCATTTGTGTGTTGGTTGGTATCAAGTTCCCGCTGATGGTCAGAGTGAGAATTTCTCTGTTCTCCTTGAAAAGGCTGGATAGAGTTTCAAGGCCCTCTTCAGTCATCTACAGTAGGGTCGTCAACTCTATTTCTCGCCATACCCTCCTTGTACCTTGTTATGTGACAGATTCAAAAATGTTAGATTGTTGCGCCTGAGATGCTTGCTTGTTTGTGAAGCTCCATAGTTGGAAACACCATTTTGAATGATTGAGAGAGATTTCAGTCTGCAAATCCGTTAGTATCAGCATCTCTCGATCAGCTCAACGCGCCTATGAAAAATCTTCCAATCGGAATTTCCAATCACTCGTACAATGGTGGAGACTCCATTGTCGCCAAGATTGTTCTGGTAACAGTGCAAAGTGTGAAGGTGACAATTCGCGTTCTTGAGAATGAATTCCGTCAGATGAATGCTGCAATTCAAAGCATTCAGGTCGTCAAGTTGAACTGCCTCAACTTCAACCCATCACCTTCCATTCACTCCCAGGTCAACCCGGTGCATGGAAAGACTTGTCAAGAATGTTCCCTGATCCTGCATTTAGAGATCCATCAACCTTGTATCCTGAGCGATTCCATGTCTGAGAGAAGTTACCTTTATAGAGAGGTTGATTTCATGAAGAATCAAACGGATTTCACTTTCCTTCCAAGTATCTTTGACATGAATCGCATTACAATCTTTCTTCTGCAGTGCCTTTCTCAGGGGAATGTTTCTATGCCCAGTCGATCGATTGTGCTGCTTCAAATAGGGGCTCACGAAGATTGCCTTCCAATGCTTCTTTATCGTCGCGCGGAGGACGGTTGACAGGCAAGTCATCTCAAGGGCATTCAAGTATCTGGTTGTGACCAGTCATTAGCACGGATCAAACTCAAGACTTACCTGCAGAAAAGAAGGTGCTGAGACGTTGTTGAGACTTCTTGCGATGTTCTATTTGAGGTCATGCTTGGCTGAACCGGTTTCAGCGCATCACATAGAGTACAAGCTGATATGACCGACCTTGGATGGTTTTGTTTCACGCTGTTTAGGTAGCATCTCTTTGTATTTCTTTTTCGCAGGCATTGGAAACGTCTCTCTGAAGAATTCATCGTTGAGAAATCGCTGGACAACAATCTTTCTCGCGTATTGTTCAATGGCTTCCTCCTGGCGTAAAAACACTTCCATCATTGATTCCATATAGTTCTACGGGTTCAAATGTCAGAGCATCGCCATTACTTTCGCAAGGTACCGTGCTGTTCGTTCTGTCTAGGGTAGAAGGATCTGACATGTCAGGGTCTGACCGCATGCTGCACATAGAAGACGACTGCTTCCGCTCAAACGCAGATGCTGCGTACGTACTCTTGCTCGGAGTGCGATATAGCAGAGGGGATGGAGCAGGAAACGGCGATCGAGGACCCTGAGGCCCCATGGCGGACGATTCTGTACGTTTGAGGAGGGCACTCAAGGTGTAGCCAGTGCTGCTTGTTCTGCTGATTGTCATCGGGACGTCTGAGGGGGGGTGATGCGTGCTCTGCTTGCTCGCGCCATCAGCCTCAGACTCCTCGGAGTCTGATTCGGAGTGATGAATCGAGTCTTGTCGCTGCATGATCGTTTGCATGATCTCCTTGGAGCTCACGTGCTCTTGAGCCTCCCGTGTTTGCTGGTGCAATCTCAAACATAATTGTTCCGATCAGCATCCACTCACCTCCGTAGTTGCTAGTTGAAGAGGATATGGTTTGACCTTCATATCTGAATCGCTCGCAAGAAACAGGAAGGTGAACCTGCGACTGCTGTCATTATTTGTTTGTAAGAGCCAAGAGCTCTTCCTGTTTGGGAGCTCGTAAGGACCGTACTCTTTCCCATCGTAGAACCATTCTACCCAGCAGCACAGAGCATCGTGCTGCTGCTCAATCTTACTAATCTTCCCGGCCATATCATGTGCCTGCAGCAGAGATGACGTACACGTCGGGAGGTGTATCAAGTATCACATCAGTGTGGACGGACTCATCTGCATCAGCTGTTGGATAGACGACCTGTCCTACCTGCCCATCTCACATGATCTCAACCTCCACACTATACCAAGTCACCTTAGGCTCCACCTCTAGCCCCAGCCGCGAGTGGTTCCCTCCGAACTGTTTGACGTATGTTTTCCACATCTTGAGGAAGGCAATCAGCTGCTCTTCGTGCTTCAGGCTTCATTCATCTCAAACATACCTTGTACACATATTTGGTAGAGAATCCCACGGAATGCAGAGACCAATTTCGAAGTTTCGGCATGAGAATGGCGACGGTTGAGTTCTTCATCCTGTTCATGGAGGTTTTGCGAGATGAGTCTGCATGCTGGAGTCCTTGAAGACCCCCAGACACGCTCTGGTCATCCGAGTCGTCGCTTGACTGTGATGATCGGCGGCTGTTGAGAGCACAAGTCAACGAACTTGCAGGCCGCCGTGACAATAGAATCGTCAGGACAACTTGGCAACGTTGTGATGGCAAGACGAACAAACTCTTCTACTGCCGTTGCTGCCCTCACCTTGTCTGGGGAGCGACATGATGCTGTGGGCCCCCGTGAGCCATCGGAGCCGCCGGGCTAGCAAATTGTCCTTTGAAGTTCGGAGGCTGGCCGCTGGAAGTTACTCACTGTGCTACCGATCCGACAGAGCCATCATCATCATCATCATCATCATCATCATCATCATCATCATCACTGGGCCGCTATAAGGTCCTACCGGCAAAGTGCCGCACCCAACTTGCCAACGGCCGGGCCCGCGCCACTCGGACGCGGCCGTGATCGGACCCAGCCAGGCCGCGGCCGCTGGACCCGGTGACCGGGGCCCGGGCAGGGCCGGGCGGCAAACAACTACCCGTAAACCCTTGACTCGCCTACCTGTAAAGACTTTACTCAAAACTGAGAACAATCCTTTTAAGAAGACCCCGACGGAAATTGCACTCGCCCTCTCAGGCGGTATGGCTGAACCAGTTCGAGTGCAGGCGTTGACTGAACGGTACCTTCATGGAGCATTGAGCATCTCCAACAAGTTTGTTGGCGCAGGCCGAAAGCGATTGTGCTGCCTGATTCCGCTTTCGCTCCTGCCCACCCCGATGAGCGAATTCAAAAAGTTGTATGCGACGGAGGATTCCCTCTCTGCAAGCGCAGTTGCCGTTCGCGAAAGCGACGACAAAGTTGTCGGTTTCGTGCAAATGACTGATGCAAGCATGAAACGAGATCCGTTTGGGAAATGCCTTCATCCTTCTTGTGAAGGCGAGTGCTATATTGAGATGATGAGCGTACTACCAGAAATGCGCGGACAGGGCATTGGCACTCGCCTCTTGCAGTTCTGTGAGACATGGGCCCGCGAGCGAGGTGCACACAAACTGACTCTGGGTGTTGTTGCTAGAAACCCGGCAAAACATTTGTATGAACGCTTCGGATTTGTGGAATGTGAAAGCAATACAGCATCTGCATGTTGCAATTCGCTGTGTGTATTCTTTTTGTTAGGTTTTCCGCATTGGGGGTGTGGGGCCACCATGATGGCCAAGAATCTCCTTTCATGATGAATGAGGACGAACTGATGTTTCCTTGTGTTTTTCTTTGTTTATTCTCAGGCGTGCAGAGCATTTAACACAGAAACCTGTTTGTTCGTAGCGCAGGCCTCCACGTCGGGACGGTCAATCCATCAACTGCCATTGTTTTCTTGCTTGCCATCCGCTCTTCTAGATACTGCATTAAAATTTTTCTCAAATGGGAAGGAAATCCTTGGGTGGGACATGCAGAGTGCAATTCGATGCGTTTTGATTTTGCGCATGGCTGAAGTTTTCAACCTCTGACGATCTGATCGCCATCCATTGGGTCACCTGGCGATCACGATCGTCATCATACATGCGAGAGATACTGAAGTCTATGATCACTCGGATGAACACTAAGTCTCAGCACTGTGAGAGGCGGAGGCCCTGTCCGTGATCGGACTGCCGTGACCGTGCCACATGATTGCCAGCCGGGCCCGGCCGGAATCGTTGAACAGCGGCGGTGGATCAAACGCCGGCGCCGGGTCCGGGTCCGGGGTCCGACCCGCCATCGGCGATGGCCGGGCATGTCGCCGGGATGAGCCTGTCGAGTACCGTACCGTGTCGCCGCCCTGACCCCGTACCGTAGCCGCACGCCGGCCCGGGGCCGCACGGTACCGTCTACCCGGCGTAAAGGGCCCGGGCCGCCCGGCCCGGCCACTCGGACCGTCAGTGTGGTTCACAGAGTACGGTCACGATCCGATGATCGGATGATGACGGATATGTTACTGAGTAAGTTACTTACTGGCCGCACTTCGGAGGCCCCGGGGGCCCGGGGGGCGGCAGGGCCCGCGAACTCAATGAACGGTTCATTGGAGTTGAAACTGGCAGTGAGTCAGTTTCAACAGGTCCGAGGCTGCGGCCGCCGGCTCAGTGCCGCGCCCGGCCGCAGTCAGTGCCGCAGGCGGGCCGCGGGCCCGGGGCCGGCCGCCGCGGGGCCACGCCCCGCCGTGCGCGCGGGGGCCCGGCCTTTGCCAGGGCCGCGATCATCGGATTCCGACTCAGTGTCCGTCACCGGAACTCAGTGCCGCCGCGCCCACCCGGCGCCGCGGCCCCCCGCCGCCCCACTCAGTTCAGTCACCCAAACTCCCTTCACCGTCTGTACAGTGTGACCGTATCGGACCGGACAGCGGCGGCCCCGGCGGCGGCCCGGGCTCGGCCGGGCCGGCCCGCCGGTACCGTACTAGGCTACGGTACGGTACCCGGTGACTCGTGATCGCCGCGTTGCGACTTCTCATTCGGAATAGGGCGTTTCAATCATGAATTCTTTGTACCTTTGTGGGGGTGGGTACCATATTTTCCGACTACCGGTCCTGTCAGTAGACTTCAACCCCCTGTCCCTAATCTGAATTATTACCAACAGCATGCAGCGCTGTATCGGTCAACCCAGGACCCCTCCCCCTCTGCTGTCCATTTCTCTATTGCAGGGGTACCGCGTTAAGGACCCCTACCTACTATTTAATTCGTCATCCATCGCCTCAGGGAAAGCCCATGCGCCCATCCCTACGCCCCTGCTTATCACTTTGAATTCTCCCTCTTCAAGTTCAAATTCTAGCGGATTCAAGATACCATTTCAGCCTTGAAGTTTCAGGGATTGCCAGCGGCCTCAATGGCAGAGCAGCCGTAGGGAGAAAAAGGGGGCGACAGAAGAGCGAGAGGAGGAGGAGAGGAGGAGAAGATAGGGTTAGCATGAATCAAAGGTAGACGTAGAGGGAGATGGCACAGAAAGGAGTGGAAGGCAGGGGCCACAGAACATCCTTAGATGTGGGCGATGAGATGAAAGGATGAATTGACCAAAGAACAAGATGCTGTCTTCAGCACTTTCATTCATCTTTAGCGTCACAACATTCTTGTTGCCAATGTTATGCACTCTAAGATGTACATGCACTAAGATGCACTCACTCTTTTATGTATGGCAGATGGTTCGGTCAACGCAGTTCTCAATCCTCCTCCTCCTCCTCCTCTCTGCGACCAGCGTCTGTGGCTCGCTGTCATCCAACATCGTCCCCTCCGGTGAAGAGCCGCTGGTCAGTGCTAAGATCTCCATCTCACAGTTCGCTACTGCAGGGATCCTGTCCGGGCTCAAGAACCGTCCAGAAAGAAGGTCTTCATGTCCAAGGACGAGCTGCTTGGCAGAGGCTGACGGGTCGCTAGGTCGGAGACGTCTTCCTTGCTGCACCTGAAGGGAGGGAACCCTCCGAAGCGGGTAAGTCAAATTGGAACAAGTGGCTGGTGACGTATCCGTGTCGGCAGGTCGCTATCTTGACTGCCGGTGGACTTGCGCCATGCCTGTGAGTCCTGATGCACGTGAGCTAATTGATGAGTGAGAGTTTGCGCAGGTCGTCAGCGATTGGATTCTTGATTGGTATCTCTCCTCTGCGCTCCTTTTTGCCTTGTTGATTCATGCTGATTGAAGAGGAATACACCTTGTACGATCCCCAAATCGAAATCATTTGCTACATCGACGGATACAAGGTAACAGGAGATGCGAAGTGTACTCAGAGTTGTCTATCTGACTGCTCTCTCAAGGGACTTCTGAAAGGCGAGTACCTCGTTGTTGGGCCGGAAGAGAGAAAGCTTGCTTCCATCCTCACATATCACGGTGGATCCAGCATCGGTGATTGATTCCGTTGGGATGAGGGAGGTACAACCTGACTGCATCTGATCGTACAGGAAACAGCAGGGTGAAGCTTACCAACATCAAGGACTGCCTGCAAAGAGGCTTGGTGCGAGCGACGTTGTCTATCTTGTTTGCACTTCTTAGTGCTCCATAGGTCAAAGAGGGAGAAGACCCGCAGAAAGTCGCTGCCGAGCAGCTCGTGAAAGATGGCGTCTCAGTACGCTCTCCCTACTCCGTCTCCTCGGTGACGGCGTCACCCCCCGCAGGTTTTGCACACCATTGGAGGAGATGACACCAACACTGCTGCTGCGGATCTTGCGGCTTTCTTGAAGAGGAACAACTACGAGCTTACGGTCCGCGTCGTCCGTGTGCTGCGTTGCTTCTCACAATTTCTCACAGGTGGTTGGGCTACCCAAGACCATCGACAATGACGTTTATCCCATCCGTCTTTCCCTCGGAGCATGGACGGCGGCTCAACAAGGAGCTGTAGGCTTGCTAAGTTACTATGACTGAGGCAGATATGAACTTGTTCCCTCAACAGTTGTACTTCCGAAACATCGTGAACGAGCACAGTGCAAACCCCAGGATGCTCATTGTTCATGAAGTGATGGGGAGACACTGCGGGTGGTTGACGGCAGCCACTGCCAAGTGCTACCGGGATGACTTGAAGGCTCAGGTGTTTTCCTGGCAGATGCTCTTGGATCACTTCAGTGACTTGACCTCCAGCGCATGCTCCCCGGATGTGGTTTGCACTTTGAAAGGCTGGACGTTCATGGAATTTATATCCCCGAGGTGCCGTGAGCGAGGAGGGAGGACTCTCTACCTGATAACACTGTCAGCTCTCCATTGACATTGCTGCCGAGTCAAAGCGTCTCAAGCAAGTGATGGACAGGTGAAAAAGCAGCGGCTCTCCTCCTCTGTGTGATCCCTATCCCTAGACTCGGCAATGTCAACATCTTCATCTCCGAAGGAGCTGGTGTCGATGACATCATCAAGCAGATGGAGGAGGCTGGACAGGAGGTAAGCATGATCATTGCTTGCGTGCTTTCTTACTCCACCGGACTAGGTTCCGCGAGACGCGTTCGGCCACCCTAAGCTCGATGCTGTGAACCCAGGAAAGTACTTTGCGGACAAGGTGAGGAGTTTTGATGTTCCCGATTCTTAAACTTCGATCCCCGTCTCCCCTCTCTTTTCTCTTCATGTTCCTTGAAAGCTTCTCGCTCACTCTTGTCCTCCCTTGTGGAGCATTGAGTGTAGAAACGAGTCCATCCTTTGCTCTAGATCTCTCTCCGTTCCTTCTTCCTACATCCTCTACTTAGTCTTGACCCTTTCCCACCCTCCCTTTGTTGACAATGCTCCTCAGTTTGCCAAGGAGCTCGGAGCCGAGAAGACCATGGTTCAGAAGAGCGGATACTTCGCCCGCTCGGCAGCACCCAACGACCAGGATCTCGCGCTGATCAAGGACTGTGCACTCAAGGCTGTTGAGTGTGCCATGCTCGGACAGGTCAGGAGCTGAGGGAGGGAGGAACAAGGGCTAAGAGGAGCCTTGCAGGGCGGAGTGATCGGCCATGATGAAGAGACGCCCAACCTCGAGCTCAGGGCCTGCGAGTTCAACCGGATCGCTGGTGGAAAGCCGTTCAATGTGGATGAGGGATGGTTCAAGTCCATGCTCACGGTTAGAAGAGGTCGAGGCCTTGCGGCATGGTGGTCACGAGGACGTGCAGGAGATCGGACAGCCTTTCAAGGGACAGCACCCGACTCATCCCAAGAGGCCGGGAAAGGTAACTTGCAATGTCAGCTGCGATGAAGGATAACACTTGCACTCTTCTCCTCCAGCCCAACGCTCCTGTGCGTTGTTCCTCCGAGCAGGTGAATTTAATAGTTGTTGTTTGTTGCTGGGCTCACGAACCTTCAGGATATTCGCAAGAAGGTCGATCTTAAGCAATGAGAGGATGGCAAGTGCTGTTCTAAGAGCGACGAGCTTGTCTCCCATTCATGCACTGGAGAAGCAGATGGGTTGCAATAAAGTTAGTAGAAACCAAAGGAGAAGCCTTGTGTTGATGATCATCGAAAGCTTCTGGCGATTAGATTGGTTGCACGTTTGTGGATTTCTCTTGTTAATTTATGCCCTTCGCTGATGTCGTTCTTGTCTCCTTTTGCCAGTATAGGATGATACCAAAGGCAATTTTTTTCACCAACATGTCTACTCCCTCAACCCCCCAACCCTGTTTTCTTTCCTTGCCACTCAAAGATCTTTTCAGCAAATCTCTTTACTGTAGTAATTTACAAAAAATCAAACATTGCAGCAGACAGGCGCGCTTCACATCCATCCTTGAGCAAAAAGTATGGCACCTTACAAGATGTCCATGGAGTCTGAAGTCCGGACAAACCATTCGATCCACATCTTGTCAATAGGGAAGGACCCAACCTCAACCATGTGAAGATTGTTGGGCCCCCGAGCCGGCACCTCCTCCGCTCGCTTGCTTCCATCAACGAGGAGGGGAGGAGCAAGGCTCTCTTCTATCCTTTCAGGGGCAGGCGAGGTCTCGGTGCTCGAGCACTCGTCGCTTTGCGAGCTCGAGGCTGAGCTGTCCTCCCGTGACAGAGTGGGGACAGCATGCCGGCTCTGAGCAGTGTCGCCGAACAAAGAGGCAGCATAGCTCCCATGGGCAGGGAGCGCATGTCCTCCCAGAACCTTGGTCCTCGCCTTCTTCCTGCGGGCATACGGCCAACGCGTGAGTCCGATCCTCCTACATGCACTCTTCATAGCCGTGAGCGATATGCCCTGCAACAAACATGTCAGCATCTCACAAGAGGCCATCAGAAGGCGGTGCTAGAGGATGAGATTCAGGGAAGGAGGGAAGGGTGCGAGTACAGCACTAAGACTTCAAGGATGGTTGGTCAACTTACCAGGCGCTTCGCAGCTTCAGATTGCCTCATGTGGAAATATTCTTTGATCTCAGTGATTCCAAGCTTCACCCCCTTCCTATTGACATCTGCCGGCTCCCCTCTCTTTCTTCTGGGAATCACTTGTACGTGCTTCTCTTCTGCTGAATCATTCTCGTCATACCTGCTGCTACCATCCACAGAGCTTCCTTCGTCTTGAAGATCATCATCGTACTCATCGTCTACATCCGACTGTTCGCACGACATGTCACCTTGCGAATGTGTCCCCCCCGCTGGATACAAACAAGGAGAAGAAAGTCCCAGCACGGAGGCAGGGGCATGAGGAAAGAACGAAAAATTGGCATCGCTTGTAGCCGTCATCTTGTCACTTGCAGATGCCGTACACGAAACTTTCGAACAGTGCAGTTGTAAAGCCCGCGTCTTCTAGCTGCTTAGAAGACACAAGTAAGATCGAGGAAGGCTGAGTTCTGCGACAGCTAAGGTAGTTGTGGAGGACGTGGAGGGAGGAGGAGGAGGAGGGGGAGGGGAGGGTGTAGCGTGTCGAGAGGTTGAGAACGAGGATGTGTGCGAAGAAGTCTGCCTGCGTCGCCCTTTGAAGGGAGGGCTCATTTTACTACAAACAAACTTACATCGTTTCGTCAAAACTTTCTCCACGGTCACGGAGACAAGTGGTAAAGATAGGTAGTAAAATAGTTGTTGATTCGTGGTAAAGACTCAAATACCCAACGATTGACCTTAATACTTTACCACTGGCAATTCCTGCACAAACGAACAAGATTAAGTTCGACTGGGAAGCAGAGTGTAGCTCTTTACAACGATCGTAAAGCCAGTTACTGTTGTAAATAAATATCCTCAAGAAGGCAGCATTCATTCGAAATAGAATGTTTTGGACATTTCCCGGAAACTGGCACTGTAGTAACCATTCAAGCTTGAGATCAAGAGTTCTTTACCACAGATCAGATCATAAGATCTTTACAACATAAAGTCTAAATATCTTTTTTAAGTACATGAGTCTACACAAAAAGAATCCTGAGGCGGTTTCCACAGATGAGTTTTTTTTCGGCTTGTAGCATACGCTGGGAAGTCGTTCCGACTGCAGTCGATCCAATGTTTCCAATGTTTGCCGTCATCATCATCAAGAAACGAACATTGAGCTTGTATTCCAATCAGATGCAAGTCAATGATCCGATGACCTGAGAGCGTGATGCCGGTTCCAACTCATTTCTGCTCGTGCAAATGCGTCGCATTTCACTGTTCGAACACCGGATGGTGGAGACTTACAAATGTTTAAGACTTAACATACTGAGATATCACAAACTCACAAAAGTCCATCCATGACGTAGACTAAAATTGAGTCCATTGAACGTGATGGTTTTGGTCGGAAGTTATTCAAATTACAACTTTCATTCAAGTTTCCATGGATCTTTAGCGATGAAAGCTTGGCACTTTATATCTGAACATCTTCATGACATGTATTCTTTACTATAGATCCTATTACAGAAAAATATCTCAAAAAGGAATAAGATATGCAATTAGATCTCACGTCAACTTTGAAAGAAATCCGTTGTACTATCACTGCGTGCAACTGTAGAACTCTCATGCGAGATTGCAATTTTTTTGTACAAATCAATCTTGGCCTCGTTGAAGGACATTCTGTTTCATTGTTATATCCTCAAATCCCATGCATGCTTCATTGAAATTGTCTATAAATCGATCATGCCGCTGCCATCTTCCATCTTTCCTGGAATTGCTTGTCCTCCAAGTGATCCACCTAATTCGTTCAACGGTTCCCTACAGCGACTGTCACATGTACTCATTACTACAGAGGGGTTTCGGTCACGAGTATATTACTACACGGAGCTCCTTGTAGTAAAGCAAAAATGAGGTCCGTCGGCCATGCCCCGTTTCTCGAAGTTTACTCAACTGAGGCCATGCCAGTGCCGAAACCGTTGCGGCTGAAAACCGTTGCGGCCTGAGCCTGGGCTAGGCCCTGAGGACAGGGCCCCGGGGAGTCCGACTGGCGGCGGGCCGGCCGGGCACTGCCCGGCCAGGGATCACCGATCGGACGCCGGGAACTTCCGAGCTTGGGCACTGCAAGGCCCCGGGCCCCGTGATCCGATCGGACTGATAGACTGATCTGCGGCCCGGGTATCAAGTTTCACTCGGCCGAAATCGCCGGGGCCCGTCTGATCGTTCCGATGTGACTGTCACTTAGTAGTACAACAATGATAGCCGCATAGAGGCTAGTACTAGATGATCAGCTGACCGACTCGGAGTCATGACCCGCCACCGGGTGACTCGCCAGTGACTCCGAGTCTGAGTGAGCGCCCGGGGCTCGGGCTCGGAGCGGCTCCGACTCGGAGAGTCCGTCAGTCAATGATCCGACATGCCTGATGATCGGATGGCAAACTCGGCTCAGGATCTGATAAAACTAGATCTCTATTGAAATTAGATCCGAGCGTATCATTTCCTACTGGTTCCTACAATCAGCTCCGCCGCCATTGCGTCTCTTCCCTTGCAGTAGTAGTCCGCTAACATCTGAGAAAGACATATGATCATTCTTGAAAGCTTGAGCTAGCAGGAACGCCGCAACATCTTGAATGTCAGATGACTCACGCGGAGCTGACAGAAGCCTCTCGACGCATATAGCTTCACTGCCGCCTCTCGCTTCGGGTCGACCTGTAGCATGACCCTCTCGCAAGCGCCTGTGACGCCCCTTTGAGACTCAAGGGCTCCTAGACACCCCAGCGCCTGTTAGTCAATGACCGAGTCAGGGCCCCTGCTCCTCTCGTCATCCCCAGCCTCCCATGGTAGCAGTGGTGAGAAACAATACAGGAAACGGCCTTACGGTATCGAGCAGCCGTCCCCCCACCCCTCGCTCTGCGAATTGGAGCCATCGTAAGCATACCATGGGGGAGAGGAGAGGAGAGGAGAGCAGAGGAGAGGAGAGCAGAGGAGAGGAGAGCAGAGGAGAGGAGAGCAGAGGAGAGCAGAGGAGAGCAGAGCAGAGCAGAGCAGAGCAGAGCAGAGCAGGATTGAGAGTGGAACGAAAGCATGTAACATACTCTGATACTCTGGAGCGACACACAGTTTGACGATCTTTCCCTCAGATCTCTCTCTAGTCCAAAGGATGTACCCAATGACTTCAGTGGAGTTCACGACGGCCACAGCAACGCAGGTGTTCCTCTTGCGTAGCTCAGCTTCGAATACGCTGGCCATGGACTCGTGCTTGGGAAAGACTCGCTTCTCAATCTTGATGAGCTGCTGAAGGTATCCTTTGGCAGTCAAGTCCTTTTTCTCTGGGATCAATACTGTGTACCACCCTTGCTCCATGGCCAACGTTCTTGGTCCTTGAGCAAAGGCAAAACAGCTGCTTGGGAGGGAAATCAAAATCAAGATTAAACTGCGCAACGAAACCAAGTCAGGAAAACTCAATCTTGCCGCGCAAGATGCTTGATCCATGGAAACGAACCGATCAGATTAGTTGCTTCCCAGCTTCATCTTCATGACGGACACTTCTCTTGTTTCATCTCGAGATCTCTGCTCTGCTATCAAGCTAAGTAGCCACGGAGCGATCGGTGGGGAAAGAAGAAGGAATGATGGAGTTGACGAGAGGAGAGGTGGCGTCTTTTGTGATTTGCAAGAGGGAGACCCGATATACAGCAGCAAGAGAGGATCTCGCAAGAGGCTGGGAGGCGGCACGTCAACGAGGAGGAAGCAGATGCAGATAAAGAGGGATGTAGAGCGTAAGGCAGCAGCAAGGGGGGGGGGGCTGGCGGCGCGAGGCAGTGGGGGGAGCAGGGGGGACAGCAGAGCAGGGGGAAGGGAGGGCTGAAGGGAGCGTGAAGGGAGGGGGAGGAACGGGGCAGACGCTTCTTTGAAATGGGCCCGCCTCCGGCTACCCTGAGGAGCCTGAGGTAGAGACCGAGGGAAGACGGTTCAACGGATGGGAATCCGATCCGAGTGACCGTACAGCAGCCAGTGAGTTCGGACCGTCTCAGTATGCCTAGCCTTGTGTGTGACAGTCACAGTTGTCTCCCAATCAACAAGTAATCATGGCAGTGGCTAGCTCTGGCATCACCGTGACCGGGTGACGCGATGATCCGAGACTCGCCGCCGCCGGGCCGGGCGGCCGCCCGGCCGCCGCGGGTGACCATGTCCGATCACCAGTCACTGAGGCTTTTGGGGAGTTAGGCATCACGCCCCCAGTGTGTTTTGCGCCATGATCGGGTCGCTCAGCTGCAGTCATGGCACGGGTGGCGTCATTCAAGGAGAGTTCAAGGCCGGGGGCTGTACTGACAACCATCTGGTTCATTCTAGACAGTGGCGCCAAGGATAATCTCATCGGCTTCAAATTCCATGGCCTTGCCCTCAAGACCGGCCGCCTGTCATTTCAAAGCTACGAGTCAGGACCATGACAGGGTTCCCAACTGTCAACCGAGTAACAAGATTCCACACCGCACCTTGTAAGACTCGAAGTACCACGGCAGATCTTCCGACAAGCTGTGCTTCCTCGACCACCCCAGGACCTGGAAAATAATGAGGACATGCACAGAGGCGAACAGTCAGAGCAGAGAGGGAAGAGGAAAGAGCTTGATGCTTTGAATTACTTTCTTGGCCTTCTCCGGAGTGACGCAAAACTCCGTGTTTCGGAAGGGAAAGGCACCCTGGGCAGATAAAGGGGATGAGACATGGAAGAAAAACAACAAAGTAAAGCGAAAGTGTAAGACAGGCCACGACGTTGCAAGAACACAGTCATCAACAAACAAACTTTCAGAAAGTCCACCATTCATCATCAAAAATCAATCCATCATGTCTAGAGCCAGGCGGATATCCAGGGAAAAACAGGGACGAGAACGATGCAATGATGGTGATTACCTTGGGCAACTCAAAACTCTTAGGGTTGTAGGTGACAATCTTCGGCGATTTTCCAACAACTTGTCCTGCCACCTTTTTCAGACGCTTGCGGAGGCTCAGCACTGACCCACCAATCATTTCGCAGATCTGGCGGTAAGAAACCATGTTGTCTGTTCCGCAGTTGAACACCTGACCCTTAGCCGCGTCCTCCTGCACGAAGTTCAGTTGGCACGGCCATGAGACCATGGAGCTGGCACCTTTCCCACCACGCTGGCGAGCATGGCAGCAACATCTTCCACGCGAGTCACAGAGGCCATCTGGTTTCCATCGCCGGGCAGAGGGCAGGGCCTGGCGATGACGTCATCTCAACGTCTTGCAGAGCAAGGAGGCACCTGTCCCTGGTGATGCGGTGGAAGAACCAGTCAAGGTAGTCGCGCTTGTTGGTGTAGGGGCCGTAGATGTACTGCAGTCATCATTACCCTCAGTTGCACTAGAAGTCAGGAGGAAACCTGAGGGCGGAAAGAAGTCCAGGGAAGCTCCTGGGAGGCAAGAAATTCCTCCACAGCCCTCTAGGGGGAATGATCAGCGCACACCGTCCCTGCTCTATTCCTCCTTCTCCTACCTGCCCTGTCGCCTTAGTAGCACCGGTCTCAACCATGGGCTGAGGTACGCTGCTCTCGTACATGCCTGCGCAAGATCGATGTTGAGAAGAATTGAACAAGAAGTTGGAGATCGACATACACACACAGACGCAGCAACAAGAGATCCAAGAGAGCATCTCATGAGTATACTTCACATTCAGAGGCAAGACAACGACTGTAACCTGCTGAGCTCACGTAGGCGTAGTTCTTGACCCTCCAGGTGTTCTTCGCTAGGCCCGCGACAGTGCTGACTGTCTTCTCCTGCACCGCAAGTGAGCAACGAGATCACCTTGCCTACAGACGTACATCCTTGGCGTAGTTGTCGAACACATGAGTGAAGCTCTTCCCCGACAGAGAAGACAAGATCCTTGACGGATCCTCCAGGTTGCAGCTGATGATCTCGACTCCCTCGGCCTCGATCTCGCCATAGTTCTTGAACGGCAGCTTCTCCATCTTGGCCGCTGAATCCTGAAGCAAAGTGACGTCGAGCCCCTTGCTGCGTAGCTGTCGGGCAAGGTGGAATCCGATCTCTCCGTGGCCTCCTCCCTTGTTCTGCACGATGAGCGCGGCGTCCATGTAGAGGGACAGAGCTTGTCTCTGCGCGCGGGTAGCCTGAGCCTTCATGCCCATGGGGGACACAGCAAGGAAGGCATTCGCGGCCCCCACGGAGAGGAGGAGCAGAACCGACCTGATGTTGACGTCAGATAGGGAGAAGGAAACGCGATCCATAGGAAGACAGAGAAGAGAAGGAGGAGAGATGGAAAAGATGTCAGGAAGGCGAAGGAGTGAAAGAAAGGACATGGTGCCGGAAGTTTACACGTGTAGGATCAGAAAAACAACTGAAATCATCTTGCAAAAACAGCTCAGAGGCAAGTTCAAAGTCTCCGGGACATAGGGGGGCTGAGAAGACGAGAGGGGGGGTAATCAAGAGGTACTACATGCAGGGCGCCATGCGAGGGGAAGCAGGATATGACTGCAGAAGGAGGCACAAAGAAGCGCGATGGGGGGACAACGCCATGAAAGAGATGAACGAAGTAGTAGAGAAGAAGGGAGGAGGAGGAGGAGGAGGAGGAGGAGGAGGAGGAGGCGGGTATCCTCACTTGAAGTGCATAGTATTGTTCGGCTGTGCTTCCGTGGGGGTTTGTTTCTTATTTAGCTCTTATAAGGACTTTACAGCAGTCTCGAGCCCGCACCAGAATGTCACGGGTCGTGACAAGAGCAGGGCAGCGATTAAACAGATGTCAAGAATTATGATGCCTTTCATAATGGTTTAGTTATTGTCTGAGGCAAGCTCGATATAACACCCGTGTACTTTGTCGGCAGTAGCTGGGAGGGGCATGGCAAGAGGGTCGCTACAGCCGTAAGACAGGGCGCATGGAGCAGGACGAGGGTCTCGGCAAGTATGCGATCAGCGTGTGTTCATGCCTTGCTCAGCGCTTCTGCTGCGAGCAAGTGTGGGGGGTCGACGAGCTGCCATCGGACGGGCCCGAGGACCTGCTGGGAGACTTGAGTAGGAGGGTGAAGGAGAGGACCGCTCAACTTGAGTGCATCCTTGATGTCGAGGGAGGCAGTGCTGGAGGAAACCAAAGCGTGGAAGGAGGAAGAGTAGGAGCAGAGACCGAAGATGGGCTCCTGGAGCGACTGTACATATTCAGGATCGATGGGCAATCGGAGGATAGAACCTGTCTACATGTGAAGACTACTGAGCTATGGCGTCAGAGGGCGATGGAGGATCCCGTGAGAAAGAGAGGAGGAGAAAGAGAGGAGAAGAGGTTCTGTCGGTGGCTGTGAAAGTGTACGAAAGGAGGCGGGATCAAGATGGAGTGGAGGAGCGGAGGAGAGTACAAGCCGTTCAAAAAGGAGATGATAATGGAAAGATCGGGGAGCTGCGAGATCTGATACGAGAGGTCGCAAAGAGCGAGCATGCCAGGAAGCTGCTTGCACTGCGTGACAGGTATCAAGATGTTTCTATGAAATATTGATTTCACACCCAGAATCTGAAATCACTATCTTTCTGATTGAACTGAGTGACCTGCACCTTTGAAATCCCCTTCAATAGTCATTTATGTCCCCTGACGTTTCTTCCTCAACAGCATCCCGTCACTGTGCGCTAGAGGAATGAACTTCCTGCGGTCTCCTCTCCAGCAGGAGATTCTGTTCCTGGAGCCGCCCCGGGTGTTCGGCCTCTGCATAGGAGCGGACAAGTACGTGCAGCCGGGTTGGGAGCTGGAGAACGCTGTCAGGGATGCGACTAGGCTGCACCTAGAGCTGAGGAGGACTCCGAGATCATGGTCGCTCCTCAAGAAGGATCCACAGTCGCGCTCCGACCTCATTCGCTTCCTGCGGAACGGTCTTGCTACTCTTGGCGGAGCTCGGCCGGAGCTGGTCGTCCTCTTCTACGCTGGCCATGGGATGAAGGCAGGAAGGGCCAAGGAAGACGTCCTGATCCCCTGTGATTTTGGGGCGATTGAGACCGAGGAGGAGGTTGAGGACTACACTCTATCTGTTTCCCATGTCTTCCAGTTGATCAAGAGATTCGAGGAGAGCTCGAAGAAGGAAAGAAGCAGCTGCTGTTTCCTTGTGATCATCGATGCCTGCAGATACCGGGAGGGTCTGCAGGAGACAGAACGGCTGCTCCCGCAGCAGGCGGTGAAAGACGTCTTGCCTCGATGCTGGTGCATTTGCTACTCCTGCAGCCATGGCGAGGGGGCTCATGACGAATCAGAGTTTGTGCAGCAGCTGTTGGATGAGAGGGAAGGGATCTTTGCCCTCAACAGGCCGCTGCGAGAAGCTGTGATGGAGTGTGCGAGGAGGAGCAAGCAGGAGGATCAGGCAGCAGTCTGCATCAACCTGCAGGATCTCCCGAGATTCTGCATGTGGGAAGATGGCGAGACCGTTCAGGAGGTCGTAAAGATCAAGGAGGCCGTCTCTACAGCCCTAGCGAGGAAGAGGAAGGGGGGGGAGGTGAATCAGTCGGCTGAGGAGGACGAGTTTGAGCAGAAGCGAGCGAGGGTCGTCGTAGCCGCGTACTCGACAGAGCAGGTGAAGGACTTCAGGGAGCATGTGAGGGCCCTACTTAAGGGGTTCCTGTCAAGCCTCAAGGAGGAGGAGCCGAGCTGGAGACTGTGCTCGCTGTTTCTGCTGGCTTTCATGAGGGATCAGGGTACGACCTTTTCGTCCAAGTCCATCCTGGAGTATCACCGATCTGTAGCAGCTGAGATCGGACCGGAGCTGGTGGAGCGAGTCGGCAGGATGCTGCAGAGGGGTAAGATCTCCTCCGCGCGGTTTGACGAGTGGAGAAGCATGAGGAGGCTGGAGGATCTTTCAGAAGAGAAACTTGTGGTTGCTGTGCTTGACTTCACCGTGCGGGAGGAGATAAGGAGAAGTGTGGACGATAAGGAGGAGGCTGAAGAGAAGATCGAGCTGTGGGAGATGGAGGCAGTCCCGAGCAGCTACAGCTCGTCGGTGAGCAGACAGGAAGCGCTGGACAGGATGGAGCGATACCTGCTCAAGGCCCTCTGCTATGAGGGAGAGAGGAACATGCTGTTTGCTGGATACGTGTTGAGCAAAGCGATCGAGACTGGGAGCTTCGTTGTGGTGATGAGAATGACTCAGGTCCAGAGCATCTTTATGTCTCGTTTTCTGCTAAAGTCAGGGAGCGGGAGAGATACAGGAGGCGGGTGCAAGGAGTTAAAGAGGACGGAGATCTGTTTCAAGACAATTATAAGCAGCTCGGGATGGTTGATAAGACATGGGGAGTGCAGGACAGACTGGAGGACAGCAGATCAAGGCTGGGTGGAGGAGCTGGAAGAGATGTTCGAACAGGTTCTGGAGGAGAGAGGAATTCAGTTTGAGCGATGGCGCGACTTTTTACAAGGTGATCGGATTGGTCTGGAGCGATGTCACGGTAAGACAGACACAGGGGAAGGGGAAAGTAAGGAGGAAGGGGGGGGAGAAACGTCAGCAGCACCCATGGTAGGAGAGTCCGAGGTAAGCTACATCAAGATTGTTTCCTTCCGAGTGATGGCAGGGACAGAGAGAGGAAGGAAGTGCTGAAGTACAAGTGAGAATTGGAAGAGAATCAGTCCATGTCGATCCAGTTGAACAAGAGCAGATTCTTCCAGGTATGAATGTAAGGGGGATGTTGTTGTTTCTTCAGATGTTGTTTCTCCATGCAGAACAAAGGGATTTCAAGATGTAGTAGCCAATTAGCTCATGCTGCCACCCAAGTCTTCCACCATCCTTTCTCATCTCTTTGTAACCTGCTCTCTACGTCTCTCTTTAATGGCAGCATGTGATTGTGTCAGAGTATGATGTAAAATCTTTCACCTCCTAAACTGTCTTTCAAGGCAGCATAGCGGGTGTGCTCATGATGGTACAAGTCATGCTACAGAACTTGAAGGAGCAGGCGGACGAGAACCTGGAGAAGAAGGGAGAACTAATGAGACTGACAAGCAACGCCTGGGATTTGACGGCGCCTGTCTTAAAGAAAGTGAAAGGGAGGAGCGAGGAGGAGGAGACTGTTCGAGTAGCGCTCTTTCAACTCTACTTTACTCTCAAGTCGCTCTGTAGCTTCATTCAAGGCCAAGGATCGCCATTGAAACACGTGCCTCCCAGCAGTGATTCCGAGGCAGCACGAAGACTCAAGGCCCAGCTTCAAGGGAAAACCTCGGAGCTCTACTCCAGCCTTCGCTTACTCTGCATGGCAATGTACGAGAACAATTCAAATTCACTTACTGACCCCGACGAGCCGGTCGAGCATGACGAAAGTCAGAACGCTCTGCGCCTTATGTCCCGTGAGCTGAATGACCTTCACTTTGAGACGGCCTTGGGTAGCATAGAGGATGCCATGGGAAAGACGAGCGCGAGCTTGGATGTGAAGGACGAGGCCGACGAAACGCCTCCTTGGTCCCTTGACTTCAGAGAGCTTCAGTTCGAGACGACAGGGCGGGGGAAGCCAAAGCATGTGCTGGGCAAGGGAGGGTTCGGGCTTGTCTTCCAGGGGAAGTACAAAGGTGCTGACGTGGCAGTCAAGGAACCTCACGACCCCGAGGCACTGCACGAGGAGGAGGCCTTGAAGAAGTCTTTCTTCAGAGAGGCGAAGAACCTCTACCGCCTGTCCCACCGCAACGTGGTAGCGCTGGTGGGGGGCATCGTGTCGGACGACTGCGGAGATCCATGCTACATGATGGTGACCGAGCTGCTGCCCCAAAGCCTTCAGAAGGAAATGGAGATACTGCAAGAGCTTGATGGCGAGGAGCGATGCAAGCGACAAGACAGGCTAATGATTGAGCTGGCAGAGGGCCTGGCGTACCTGCACTCTGCCGGAATCATTCACAAAGACATCAAATCTCAGAATGTGATGGTGGATACAAGTGGATCTCCCAAGTACATTGACTTTGGGCTGTGCAAACAAGAGCAGGTAACGACTTCGACGGCCAGCACTCGCCTTGCTGGAACTCTGTACTGGATGTCGCCTGAAAGGAAACGAGGAGGAGCAGCCTCTGCCAAGTCCGACGTGTACTCACTTGGTCTGCTCCTGGTGTACATGCTGACCATGGCGAAGCTTCCAGAGGGTGAAGAAGCGCTGCAAGAGGTCGTCAGGCAACATGCAGAATCAGTGAGCGGAAAGTTGGTCCTGTGCTGTCTCAGGGAGGAGGAGTCAACACGACCAACTGCTGCGACCGTGGCGATGAGTCTGACGTTGCGCACGGATGTGACGGTGTCTCCCATAGCTGAGCTGAGAATCGTAACTGAGATCCACGAGGCAGAAGCGAGGAGGGACTGGACAGCACTAGTCGGCATCCTCAAGCGAGAGCTGAGAGAGAGAGTCAACGAGGAGGTAGTGAGGTCGATGCTGGCCATAACGGACGGCAAGGAGATTGCGGTGGGATATTGGAAAGAAGCTTCTGAAGAGAGAAGGAAGGAGCTGAATAAGCACTATAAGGAGCTGTGGGATGTCGGTGCCATTGAAGCGGTGATCGACAAGATGAAGGTCTGGGTATGGAACGCTCACGTTCAGGAGATGGGAGCACACATGATCTTGCTGATCAGCAGAGGAGACGAAGGCAGGCATCGGCTGCCCTTCTCGTCAAGAAATCTTCCTGCAGGAATCGAGGCGATCATAGGGGGGATGAGGAGGCACAAGCAACACCTTGGGTTGCAGGAGAAGGCGATGGGCGCCCTGTTGATTCTGGCCATAAACGATACGAACAGCGTCAGGATCGGGATCACGGGAGGGATAGAGGCGATTGTGGAAGCGATGAGACTGTACCCAGACTCTGCGTCGATACAGAGGCTGGGGAATGGGACCCTGAGGAACTTGACGTACAACGACGTGCATAAGGGAAGGGTGAGAGAGGCGGGGGGGATAGAGGCTATCGTGGATGGTATGAGGCGGCATGTAGGCAATGCTGGGGTGCAGGAGTGGGGGAGTGCAGCGTTGAGGAACCTGGCGTACAGCGACGAGAACAAGGAGAGGGTGGCCGAGGTCGGGGGGATCCCTGTGGTGGTTGAGGGCATGGAGGCGCACAGGGAGCATGACGGTGTGCAGGAGTGGGGCTGTGCCGTGCTGGAGGAACTTTCGAACAATAGCAACAACATGAACGCTATCATGCAGGCAAGAGGTCACGTGGCTGTCACTAGGGCCATGGAGACGTTTGAAAGCAACACGATGATCAAGTATAGTGCAAGCCGCCTTTTGAGCAGAGCACATGAATGATTAACTAGATTTTACGAACGAACTTTTCTTTTAACAGACTAATTTACATGTGCACGATAAGGAGTGGTTTGTTCATGAGATCTCAACTTCATAACAAGCTTCTGAAAGGCTTCAGGCCGACCAAGCACGCGAGATGATGAGCTTCGGCTTGGTCCTTGCTTCCAAAACGTTTGAAAGCAGCATGTCTTCCTTGTCGATGGACTCCATGGTATCTTGAGTGATGCTGCAGCGGGTTGTGGCATCTTCTGCATCAACGGTTGTGCGATCATGTTGGGCGAACGCTGCGGCCTGCAGTCTTGGCAAGAAGAACTCGACGCTCTGCATCTTGATTGTTCGTGAGGTGGGGAGTGCGCTGATAGACTTACACATGCCGATTGATCTGAGGGATTGCGCGAAAAGAGCTGGAAGCGATGCAAGGAAGGAGGGGGTTGGGAAGAACACACAGGAAGAGAGAGAGAGATGATGATGATTATGATGGGGTCGAAGAGACTAGCAAGGAAGGGAGGGAGCGGTGGAGGGATGACAACCTTACAGTAGCAGGGTGATGTATAAGGCAAGGAAAGAGCAACGTATGGCAAGGGGAGGCCATGCTGACATTTGCTATTACCCCAAACGCTGCGGTTTACGGGCTCAGCAAGGTAAAGTGGATACGGTCCGCCTCAGAGTCTTCTGAAGACAGCACTCAACATAGCGAGGAAGACATAGTAAACATTCCTGCAGGGCAGCACAGGTGCGCCTGATTTTTGGTGCCGGCCCCCCTTCCGCACGACCAGGTCACGTTCCCCAGGCACGAGACCCGGGGAACGTGCGAGTTAAGACCGATATCCTGACCATCTATACCTTCTGATGACCTTCAACGGGGACCAACAAACCGTCTTGAAGATCCATTTGTACGGCAATGCCGCAGTGCGGCAAACCGCGGGGGGCAAAACTTGAAAATTCATTTCGGAAGATTTCCCAGTCACGTTCTGATCACATTCATCCGACACACGGGGCCGCCGCGATCGAGTCCGGCGCCACGGGCACTCATGATCACTCACTGCTCAAGTTTGAGCGCCATCCGATCATCGGATGTCATCGGATCAGTGACGGTGCAGCCCGGCCTCGCGGCAGCCGGGGGGCTACCGCCAGCCTGAGCCAGTGCCGCCGTACTGCCACACTGGCTAGCGAAGCCTTCAAGCGGCCAGGGCGAGTCAGAGTACGGTCACTAGTACGGTCGGCAACCGTGACAATGACTCGGGTACGGTCCGTCAGCGGGATCATCATGCCAAAGGCACCGTGATACTATGATGCCACAGTAACTGGGCCAAGTTCAACGGTTGAATGGCACCGCCCGGCGCCGGCGGGCCACTTCAAGTGGCCCGCCGGCGCCGGGCGGTGCCATGCTAGTAGACGGTTGGCCGGGTTCTGCGACTCACTGAGTCAGTCCGAGTCCCTCGTGCCACGGCCGGGCGTGACAGCGCCAGCCCTGGGGCCTCAATCAACTTGTGACAGTGGTCGAACGAACTTGAGCCCCCGGCCCAGGCCCGCGCGGCCCGCCCTCAGACTGCCATCTCAGTCTTTGAGTTGCCATCGTACTAGCCTGGCAGTGACGTGCAGTGTCCGCAGGCTCTCAGTCTTGCGGCGTAGTAGATTAAATTGATAAGTTATGTAGCACGGTCGACTTCCATGATTGGCCGGATCGGGGCGATGACAACCAGGCTTTCAAGTTTGGCAATTAATTAGTAAATCACTGCCGCACATCATGAAGGTTTGCAACAGTCAAAGTTTGGAGGAGGTTTCAAAACTCAACGACGTCGAAATCAAACACTCTGCCTTCGTCTGCATGATCTTGGCTTCCCTCAAACCAGCGACAGACCAGAGTCCATTATTTCGAACAGCGCTGCCGTAAGAGGCAATCCGAAGTGTCCCACCGGGACCTACGAGAACATCTTGGAGAACATTGCCTTCTCCGCTTTCATGGCCTTGGCCTCATTGACTGTAACGCGCTTGAGCTCTGCCTCGGCATCCTGGACGACATAAGTATTTGACGAGCGAGTCCACAGAATCTTACGGAGTTCTTGGGGTCGATCTCAAGAAGCTTCTGCAAGTCGCCCTTTGCGCTCTGGAAGTCAGCTTTCTTGGTGTGGATCTGAGCAGCAGATGTGAGCGCAACCTCACCGGAGAGATTAGGGTGCTGCAAGAGCATCACCTGAGCGCGGCGGAAGAAAGCTTTCGTATTGCTTGGATCCAACTTCAATACAAAGTTGCAATCCTCGATCGCTGACTTGAGGTCGCCATTGCCTTTCAACTTGGCCTGTCGCACAAGCTTCAGCATCATCAAGCATCCAATGGAAACTCTGACCTGTGCGACATTGAGGGAGAGAGCAACGGCAACAGGCTGAGCAAGGACAGCATCTTCGGGAAGTCCTCCACCAACGTCATCAAAGATGTCCTGCCACAAAGGACGCCTCATTTCAACTAAATCATTTTGTGTAGTCAAGGGGCTGAAACTAATAGAGAGAATGCACACAAGAAAAGATTGCATCAATTCGTGAGCAGAATGGAAGAGATAGATGTCACGGAAGCGACACCTTTACATATGAAAGTCCCTTGTCATAGCTCACGATGGAGGAATCAAACTGTCCAGCCTTGAACTTGGTGTTTCCTTCGTCTTTGCACTTTTCTGCCTTTTCAACTTTCTCTTGTGTTGACATCTCCCAGATGTCCTTCTCCTTCTCCCACCAATCGAAGAGCTCGACCTCAAAGTCAAGGGTGGCTCCTCCCTTTCGATTGCACGGTCAATTCGCAGTCTTGTACACGTTCCAGTAACTCACAGGGATCTTGGGCGGGCTTCCAGAAGCACCGTAAGCATAGTCAGACCTAGCAGGGTAGTCAGCAGGATCGGAGGATGCCTCATAACTCGACTGCCACACCGGCATCTTAGGATGCACAACTCGTCTCGCTTCATCCCCACGATGCCCTGATCCCAGCCCTTGATCACTTGTCCGATCCCGACTTGAAACTCGAATGTTCCAGGCCTGTCCCTCGAGCTATGGAGAAAAGATCGTGAGACACTGTCATCAACACCAGCCTCAAACCTGTCGAACTTGGACCCATCCGACTGCAAAGTCCCTGTGTAGTGCACTGATACCATGTTCCCAGGAGCAGGTGTGGCGTCCCCCTTTCCCTACAGTATCCTGGTTATGCAGGTACAAACTCAATGGCTGCATGGCAGACCTCGCGGAGAATCTTCTTGAGGATACCACCGTCAGTGCCTGGGACCTCGAAAAACCCTTCATTTCCAGCATCTGCAGGCATCTGCAAAGGAATTCCATCAGGGCCGACTGAAGGCTGAAAGCACGACATAGAGCAAGAGCTTCTGCATACAGCACATGCCATATGCGTATGCACCACCAGCATTGCAACGCGGTTCTCTTCTACAAGTTGGTGGGCACGAACAATATTTGGTTCGTGCTTTGATCGTTCGATCGGAGTAGAACTTCTGCGTCATCGCACTAGTCTGATGCTGCTCGTATGCCTGCCACTTGTATAGAGTCTGCATCTACACCTTTGGCCCACATATCTTCCTCTACATCTTCAGCCCACATATCTTCCTCTACATCTCCGTTCTTTCTCCTAAAATGTTCAGCCGCCCTTCCCGCGCCTTCATCCACGAGAGAAGGCTGGTCATATTTTCTCGGGATAATCTTCAAATCTACCCCTCGACTTTCAAATGATTTCAGACAGTTTCACCAATCTGCACCTGTCGTGGAATGTTCGATTCGATCCCAAGCCCTCTTCAATTTTTCGCTCTGAGTATTCAAAACGCTCCGAGCAACTTGAAATACTTTTACTACAATTTCGAAGTTGTCAAATCCTCCATTTTACTCAACCCCTCAACTTTACATACGGCCCTGAGGCGCGCCGTTTCCTCAAAGTTAAGTTAAAACCTATCCCCCGAGAGACAGTATCGTGACGGAAATTATCGTGACGGCCTTCCTTCCGAAGTTCCGAAGTTCAGTGCCGGGCCGTGCCGGGCCGACTCACCGGGCCGGGCGGCCCTGTGGCCCGGGCCGCCGCGGCGCCGGGCGGCGGGGCCACCGATCGGACCTGCGTATGCCCGGCTGTACCGGTACCGTCCGCCGCGGCCGGTACCCGACACGGTGCCGCAGGCGAAGATCGGATGCCCACTGGGCCCGGATCCGAGCGGACTCAGGCTGCCAAGCTGAGCCTGTGAGTCGGCGGGCCCGGACTCGCCGGACTCCCGGACTCCGGGACTGGGCCCTCACTGGACTCGACGGCACTCAGCACCGATCGTGCCAGTGAGGTCCGCCTCGCTTTTGAACAGTGAAATGGCGGGACTGTTCATGGAAGAGTTTGTGGAGTCGGTGGATCATGCAAGGTGAATTGCTCGAGTTGTTTCAGAGACAAGGACGGATATGAAGGCACACGAGGAACCATGCGCTCGGTTCTTGGGATCTAGAGTAGAGTCAGTAGGAGGGGGTTGGGGGGGGGCTTGAGAGTAAGAAATGTTCTAGCAGCTGCCCATCTGAAGATTGCTGTCAGGGGAGGATGCATGGAGGGGCGGTATGATGAATCTCTGATGCTGTACGATGGGTGAGCAAGAATATTGAGCCTCAATGAGCCAGGAGGGTTGAATCGGCGATGATTTCTGCAGGCTCCTTGCCCAAATGAATCAGAGGATGAAGAACGAGCTCGATCACGAGGTCTATGGCACCTGGAGTATGATGAAGGAGGCGCTGGTTGCCGAAGCGAGCCTCGTCAAGAACCTTGGCGAATGTCTTGCCTCTTACAAGGTACCCCTAGTCGTCGTCATCATCATCATCATCATCTCCATCTCCATCATCATCTCCATTATCATCATCATCGTCATCATCATCATCATCGTCATCATCATCGTCATCATCATCATCATCATCATCATCATCATCATCATCATCATCATCATCATCATCATCATCATCATCGTCATCATCATCATCATCATCATCATCATCATCATCATCATCATCATCACCATCACCACCACCACCATCATCATCATTATAAGCGCAGATTTGTCCCATATCTGATTCAGAGTGTGACAGGAGCCTACTGGGGGTCATCCTCAACTAGGAGCTCGGAGCCACTCGCTAGACAGCAAGTACATCTTGTCTTTCCGTCCTCCTTGTCCTGCCGTTGGCTGAGCTCGTCTCATGGCATATGGCCTTCCATAAATCCTCGCTCATCAAAACCAGAAGTGATTGGAATGTTGCAGCGAGCTGTCGAGCAATGATGGGGCGTTCAGAAACGACGACTCCGATGACTATCAGTCGAGCTGGCAAGAAGATTTGAAACGGTCGAACTCGCTTAGCGCGAACTTTCGGAATGGTGGTATGGACGATATGCCGGCATGGGCAAACAGACGAGACAACGCTGTGAGCTGATGAATGATTGTCTTCTGTTTCCTTGATGAACTTGTTCAGGGCAAAGTCAACCAACCTGCGAGAGCACGACCTCCTGTAAATCGTACGAAGAATCAAGTCAGCACAACTAGAAAAGGTTGTGATAATCAACTCTCAGCAGACAAGTCACTGACAAGCACCTGCAGTAACAGGTGAAGAGGATCGCTCTCGACCTTGGCGCCATGGGATGAAGAAGAATGAGGTATTCAACTGAAAATCGACTGACTAGATGAGCAACGTCCTCGTTTCGCAAGTGACCGCTAGCGCAGAGTTTGGAAACCCCCGTGTCAGGAGGGAAGCCTCGGTTCCTTCCTCCGAGCATGGAGGACAAGAGCTTGGTAGAGTATCTTGAGCGAGATATCATGATTTCAAACCCTGGAGTCTCATTCGACTCGATAGCGGGTATCGCATCCAAGGTTCAGTCAGAACAAACTGACTTGGTGTCGGAAGGGTTGGAAGAAGCGAAAAGGCTGCTCAAGGAAGCTATCATTCTTCCCTTGTACATGCCCGAGTACTTCCAAGGGATTCGAAGGCCTTGGAAAGGAGTTTTGATGTTCGGCCCTCCTGGTACTGGCAAAACGCTGCTGGCAAAGTCAGTGGTGAGTAGGAATGATGAAATCAGTGTCAAAATTCGCATGATGGGATGTCTTGTTTCTTTTCTTCTGTTTCAATCTGTCTGTCTGTGCACGTGGGATGAACATTTACATCAGCCATACACCTTCCCGTCGAATCTTTTTCCTTCTAGTACCGGGGATTCTTGGCTGGCTGGACTGACTGAAATCGTTTGAAAACAGGCAACTGAGTGCGACACAACATTCTTCAACATCTCAACCTCTACACTTGCTTCCAAGTACAGAGGAGAGTCGGAGGTTAGAAAGTGCCTGCTGCCTCCCCACAACTTCACTCGCTCTTGACGCTGCGTGCAAGAAACTCGTCCGTCTCCTGTTCGAAATGGCAAGACACTTTGCTCCTTCTACAATCTTCATCGACGAGATTGATGCTCTTTGCTCGGCAAGGTGATCCATCCAGTGTTTGATTTGTTGCTTCACCCTCTTTGCACGTCTCCTGTTTCTTTCTCTCCTTGCATCTATAGCCCTGTATACCTCGATCCCAATTCCTCGACTCTTGTCTCTGTTCTCCAACTCTTCCCTGCCATCTCTCTCTATAGCTGCAACCTCTGCCGTCTCAAGAAGCTTCATCAGAGGTTCTGGGAACGAGCATGAAGCATCGAGAAGGATAAAAAGCGAGTTTCTCACTCAAATGGATGGAATGAACACAGTACAAGTAGGTCAGCCCCTATGTTTGCCCTGCTCTCATCGCTTCCGTGCAGTCAGGGGCTGAGGAGGGAAGCAAACCCAAGACTGTCATAGTCCTCGCAGCTACCAACTTCCCGTGAGTTCTGCAAATCTCACAGGATTTCCGTTAAACTTCAGCTGATAGGTGGGAGTTGGACGAAGCAATGAGGAGGAGGCTGGAAAAGGTTCCTTCTCTCCCCATCCTCTCGCTCTCCCTTCTGAATCCTCGTCCCAACTTCTTTCCTGCTCGCCCACTCCTCTCCTCCTCGCCAACTTGCTGTATCTCCTCCCCCTCTCTCTCCCCTGCCTGTTTCTACACCTGAGCATCTCACTGCAGCGCATCTACATCCCCCTCCCTGACGAAGACGCGCGACCGGCCCTGTTCGAGATCAATCTGCACGTAACGTTCAGACTCTTCTCTCTCCTCCGCTCAGAATGCTTCCCCAGGGCATCGAGTTGGGCGAAGACCTCGACATCAAGGAGCTCGCGAGGAAGACGGAGGGGTACTCGGGTGCTGACATCACCAATATCTGCCGCGATGCCTCCATGATGTCCATGAGGAGAATCACCGCGGTGATACGATTTGCTCCCCCCCCCCCCCCTTACCATCGGCTCCTCCCAAAGCCCAACGCTTTCAAGCTCGCTTTCGGCTGATTTCCTGCCCCTTCACGCTCCTCGTCTACCATCGTCTCCTCCCTCCCTCCTTGCCTGCTCTCTCGCTCGCTCTATCTGTTCCTGAACGCGCGGCTCAGGGGCTCTCGCTCGAGGATCTCAAGAACCTCAACTACGACACAGTCAAGGAGCCGGTTGCTCCTGCAACGACAAGAGGAGAGAAGGAGGCTGACTGGGGGGCAGGTGACCATGGCGGACTTCCACGAGGCGCTCAAGAAGATCAGCAAGTCAGTAGGAGCAGAGGATATTGCGAAGCATCGCAAGTGGATGTCTGAGTTTGGAGCAACGTAGAGGGAAGGAGGGAGGAGGAAGCAGGAGGCTGGGGGTGAGCAGATGGAGAAGAGAAAGAGGAAGGGAATAGCTGAAGGACTAGGACGAGGATATGAACATGGCTGGTGGGATGAGGGCACAGCATGAAATGAAAGCTCCTCGCAGTCCCCTTGGCCGTACCTTTATTAATACATTCACTCCTCCTCCTCCTCGTTCGATCAGATTCATTTCTTCATGGGAGCTGCAATTGCTTGTACCGGTCTTGCAATCCCTTTGACGGGAACAGCAGCAGCAGCTACTGGAGCCACCTCAGCAGGAGGGAGTTTCGACAACTTGGCCCTGACGATCTTGGCAAGGGGCGAGAGGCGGGAGGGATGGGGAGAGGACGAGGACGAGGACTTGGCGGTTGGAGCAGCGGGACGGACGGGCAGAGAAGCCCCTGCTGCTCTGCTCTTGCTGGCAACGACAGGCAGAGGAGACTGCGGATGCGACTTGACGGCTTGCTGCTTGACTATCTTGACGATCTGAGACAAGGATGAGCAAAATCTAAGACAATCCCCTCCTCACTCCACTTCCCCCACCCTCCTCATCCTCTCTACCCATTCCTCTCCCCTCCCCTCCTTCTTTGACTGTCTCACCTTGCGCGCCTGGTCAGACATCAACTTCTTCCCCTTCCCCTGCTGCTCTGCCTTCTTGGCTGCATGAAGTTTCGACTTCATAAAGTGACGAAGCGCCTGGGAGAGATGCTGGAAGGACATCGCATGGTCCACTGCAACGCAATGTCGTCAGCGCCCTCCCTTCCCTCCTCTTCACTTCTTCCTCTTCTCCGTTCTGCATCACCACCTTGAGGTCCCATCCTCATCACAGGCCCAAACACTCCCTCCCTGCCCCTCGCTTGTCTTCTCATCCTCCAGACACCCGCCCACACCTCCCCTCTCCCATCTTTCAACGCGCACTGTTCCAGTCACATTCTCCGCTCCAATCACGATTTCAGGGGCTGATGACTCGCCTGACAAACTCGCGTTCGAGGAGACACTGGCGTTGGAAGTACCGTTGCTCATACCTACAGCAGGCTGCACACAACGAATATCACCCTCCTCACCCTTCTCCGCCAACATCTCCTCACCATATCTGTCTCGTTCCCTCCTGTCATCGCTCGATTCTCGTCTGTAACGGTCGTATTGTCCTCAGCTGTTTGCTCGGACTCAATTTCCTGCAAGACTCTAGAGTCAACCTCCTCCTCCTCCTCCTCCTCCTCCTCCTCGCTGTGAACCTCAGATGACGTGCTGTTTTCTCCCTGCACGCAATTCGGAATCAGATTTTCACAAAGTCTCCCCTGTTCATCCCTCCCTCCCCTTTTTCCTTTTCCTTCTCCCCTTTCCCTCTCGCCCTACACTCCCTCCATCACAGTATGTTTACCTCCTCCATCTCTTCATAGCAGCACGGTAGTTCAAGACGGCAGCAGGCGTACTTCCGCTATCGATCCTGTCAGCCCAAAAAGATCTCTTTCTTCTCCTCCCTCTTTCCTCTGTTTTTTTCCTCCCTCGTCCCCTCACTTCCTCCAACTCCATCACCACTACCGCCACCACACCCTCCTCCCTGCCTCCTTATCCTCTTTTCCTTGTCTCTCACCGAAGGAAACATTCCCTCCCAGTGAATCGTCGACCCATTCAGCTGCTTGTTCACCTAACGAACTGCATCAGATCCCCTGACAATCCAGTTTTCCTTTTCTCTACCCTCTATCCCCCATCCCCCCGCCTCCGCCCCCGCCACCTTCTCTTCTCCACTTTTCACCTCCTCGTCCCTTACAGCGATGGCCCTGGCCACATACAAGTATTTCCGTGCAGCCTGTACTCAGTCAACCCAATGAAAAAAAATGCAAGTTCCCATTCCACTCTCCTATTCTCCCTCTACTTCTCCTCCATTTCCTTTCATGACTCCCCATCCCCATCTCCTCTTCCCCCGGGTCAAATTCCTTCATCTCCCTGCTGCTCTCACCTCCTCCTCTTACCTTCAGCTCGTCCCGCGGGGCATCTGACAACCAGCCTTCAATCTCTCCCGTTTTCTCGTCGTATAAGGGGCACATGCAGCACGGCTCCTACATCCCAACAAATCAGATACAAGCCCTCCCCAAACCCCCCCCCCCCCACTCAAGCCACCTCACCCACCAAGCACCCGTCCCCCTCCCTTCCTTTCCCCCTGCTCCGCCTTCTCTGTTGCTCACATTGGACTTCGCTTTCATGCTCGGAGGAGGGAAGGAAGGCTCCATCGGTCTCTGTGGAAGCGGATCAAGAGACGAGGGAGGAGGAACATGCAAGACATCTTCCTCCGCCGCTCCAGGCTCGGCGCCTTGCTCGGGAGCAGGCGACTCGGCAGTCTCGTTGCCCTCCATTGAGGCGTTGCCACCGAGCGGGGGAACGATAATCTCTGTCTGTGAAAACTCAAAATGTCAATTTCAGCTCAAGGAAACAGAAGGAACAGGAGCAGGAGCAGGAGCAGGAGCAGGAGCAGGAGCAGGAGCAGGAGCAGGAGCAGGAGCAGGAGCAGGAGCAGGAGCAGGAGCAGGAGCAGGAGCAGGAGCAGGAGGATGAGGATGTGAGATCTTGTTAATATTCGCAAGAGCGCAGTGGCCGACAAAAGAGGACGAAAAGGATCTGGAGATGGGACAGCAATCTGACCTCATTGGAAGAGGAGTTGACTTCCTGCATCGCACAACTCGTGAGAAGCTACATGGCATAGAGGGGGAACAAGAAAGAAAGAAGAACGAAGCAAGAAGGAGAAAGACAAGAAAAAACATGATGGAAAGAAGCATGAAGAACAATGACGGTGATGAAAATCGGAGAGATTGATAGAGGAGGGGATGAAGAGGACGAGGAAAAAGTGGAAACAAGCAGACAGGCATCGGAGGGCAACGAGAGACACTATCTCCCACCTGCAACGACATCCTCTTGCTCCTCACAGCCATGTGGGCAGGGGCAGAACTCAGGTCCGGCATGTGAACCTTGACGATCCGGTTCGGAGGCAGGACGTCGGGAACCTTGAACGCCCACGTCTCCCCCGACGGCGTCATGGCCTTGTAGTACTCTCCGGGCTTCGCCGTCACTGGGATATGAACGAGCATGTACCCTTCCTTGAGGATCGTGAGCCGGGCACCGTGGGCCCTCTGAACAGCCTGCAAGAGCCTCCGGGCGGCCGTGGAGTTGGAGTTGGAAGGAGAGGGCGAGACGTCTGCGGGTTGAGCTTCCACAAGGGGGAACGCTTCGACAACAGGGAAGTCAGTTGCAGGAGACGGCGTAGCTCCTGAGCTCGCCGCCGCTCCCTCCTGAGCAGGTTTCGCCTCCTCATTGGGACCCTTGCGCTCTGATTTGACCTTCTCCCCATGGCCTCCCTTCCTCTCCTATCAGCATTGCAGTGATCGAGAAGAAGGTCTATGAAGGAGAACGAACCTCGTGCGCAGTGGAGGAGGGGTAGCTGAACCAGTTGGCAAACACATTCCCACCTGTGCTGCTGGACTGAGGAAGCGACTCGCTGAACGACACCAAAATTAATCATGTTGGGAGGACGGATAGTAGGAGCAGTCGCCCTCACCGGTAGTCAGGAGCTCCAGGGATGCAGCGGCAGCAGGCTTGCTCAACAGTCTCTCCTGTCAGCAGGTTCTCGTCCTCATCCTTGAACAGTCCGAAGATAGAGAACGGTCCCGTCTCGTGGTGGCGATCAGGAACGTCGCCAGGGACGTCGCCGGGCTGCAAGAATCGCCCGTGCTCGGTGAAGGGAACAATTCTGTCGTGCCCTACAAGGTCGGCGAAGGGAGTCGTGGCGGAAGCGTCCACGGCCACGTCGCCCTCGACGTCACCAGGCTGCTGGTACTCTTCGATCTTCGAGCGAGGCAGCACAGAGTCCTGAGCCTCCCCACCAAAGTCGAAGATGTTGAACCCGTTGAGCGTCTCAACTGCCGACTTCTTGTCGGAAGGCTTGGAGTTCCTTTGCGACATGAGACAGCCCTGCGTGAGGGGGTCAGCCCAGGATGACATAACAAGATCAAGAGACGAACAAGAGATATTGATACAAACAACAGGACGAGCAGGAGGGAGGCTCACCTTGCCATGGCAACCTTTCTCAGATGCGAGCAGAGCGCTCGCACGTGACTTGACCATTCTGTGTTCAAGAGCATGATACCTCGAGCCGGTGTCAAGGTTGTCCAGGCTGGTGAGATCCTCGTTAGTAGTGAAGAACCGAGGAGAGGAGCTGACAGGAAAGACGCACCATGAGAAGAGCGTCCCACACAACACCGAAGTGCCTGTTTCTGCCACCTTGACCCTTTCATGCTCCACAGCTGCCAGAGCGATGCTGATGTGAGGAGGAGGTTAGAACATCATCAAGAATTGATGAAAGGAGGACATCTCACATGGCTAGAGCACTCGAGAGCACCACCAGCGCAACATTCCTTCTCCGAGTCTGCTCCTGTACGGGCATACTCCTCTCCTCGGTCGGATCGACTGGGAACGTACCCTTGGAAGAACGTCAGAGCAACGCACATCCAAGAAACATTTTCAAGACGAGAGCATTGAGAACCAACCAATTCCTCCCCTGATGTTTGCAACCGTCTTTCTACACACAACAGCTCAATCAGCTAGATTGTTCTGGCATTTCCTCAGGCCCTCTTCTCTGAAGCTCAACTGTATCGATTGCGGATGGGTGACAACGCATCAAGGTTCTGCCATCTCTCGACCCACAAAGTCTCCTCCTCTGCCTCCTCCTCGTCCTCCTCGTCCTCCGCCTCCTACTCCAAACTTCGCGTCTCCCATGCTACGGCGCCAGATCTATTTCGGTAGTAGAGCCCACAGCCCATATCAGCCCACAACATGTTGCCCTCATCCCCCAACAGTCTATTGATGGGTGGGTATTTGAGTATCCAAGAGGTGGGTAGGGGTAGTGACCCTCAACACCAGGGTGGTTAGATGGGGGTATGTGGGTATGGCTGGCTGTGGGTAGTCGAAGATGGCGGAGGACACTAGGAGATGGAGAAAGGACCGAAGGGCAAGGGAGGACGAAAGAGGGAGGGAGGGAGGAAGAACGAGGCCCGCAAGAATGGTGGAATATGAGACTGAGAAGATGGTAGTCAGAAGAACAACTTACTGGTGTACGAAAGAGTGTGTCTTGTGACATTTTGTTTTCGCATGAGTTTGCAAATGAGAGCCAAGCGGAGGACTAGGATAGATAGCAGGATGCTTGCAAGACTTGATTGTCTGTATGTATGCACGTGGAGACTGATGTGCAATGTTGCCTGTGCGCTCAGGTTTTGTGTGATGAAAATCGCGAACCAGGTCGGAAGTAGTTCAGAAAAGCAAGAAGCGAAACAGCTGCTCGAGCCATAGGAGTAGATAGACCTCCGAAGCGTGCAGATGCTTCCTTTGACTGTCTGCAAGGAGTAACACTTTTGCAGTCTAGTGCTGAGCATGGCCGTGTAAGGGCATCTCAAGGGCTCATCGCAACCATTGCAGCATGCTGCTACGGGCATTTTTGATCGTCTTACTTGCAACTTTGGCCGCCTGTGCTCAGGACGACCCATCCCTACATGTCGCTCCCAGACCCCCGACCCCTGATGCTCGAAGTGCAGCCATGGAAAACTTTGGGAGGCCCTCGAGTCCGCTAGGAGCATTCAACCATTCCATCCCCCTCTACGCTACTTCACACGGCAAACACTACATGGTGGACATTCAGCTAGGGTACGACAGCAACTCGAGCACGGCCCAGACCGCTCGTCTCATTGTAGACACGGGATCAGGTGACATCGTCATCTTCGGCAGTGTGGAGTGCAGCAAGGACAGTAGCGAGTACAACCATGCGATCGGGGGGCTTTCTTGCTACAAGTGAGTCCCGCTGCATTTACTCTTTCATCCTCCCCTTCCCTCTCCCCTGCTCCTCCTTGCTCTTCTGCTCTCTGTTTAGTTCTTTCCTTCCTCCGGTCTCCTCCTTCACCTTGTTGCCTTCTTTCTCCCTCTCCTCGCCTCTTCTCAATCCCTCCGATTAATCCTCCCCTTCCTCGTTCTCTGCCCCCCCCCCTTGCCTCTCCCTCCCCCTTCGCGCTCCATAACGGCACTGGCAGCTACCAAAAATCCAAGTCCTTCAAGTTCAACGTGGAGGGGCTGGGGCAGCGAGTCAACCACGAGTGTCAGTATGACCAGCCCGGTCACCCGGGGGCCTACTGCAAGGAGGCGCTGCTGATAGACGGGTACAAGGCAGAGGCGATGTGTGAGCTTGCGTGGGAAGACGTTCAGCTGAAGGATCTATCCTCCTCGAGCTCCTCAGGTTTTCTCCCCATCAGGACCGACATCTGCATCGTCAACGACACGTCCACGGACCTCTACAAGCTCCGCTACTGGAACAACACTCAGGGCACGCTCGGCCTCTTCTATCACGTCTGCGACCCCGGGCAGGGAGAGTCCAAGTGCGAGACTCCCTTCCCTCCTCTTCTCAGCTCCTGGCCGAGCTGGATGCCCCGAATCTTCTCGTTGGACCTCAACGACCCTAAGGAGGACAGCTGGATGCACCTGGGTGCCCCAGCAGGAGGGTGGGGGGACCTGCAGTGGAGCGAGACGCAGCCGATCGCGATCCTCTCCTCCTCCTCCTACAACCTCCGCTACGCCTTCCACTCCCTCGAGATCTTCCACCTCCAGCTCTGTGGGGTCGACCTCTTCGACAACATCAGCTCCCACTGGACCGCCATGGTCGACACCGGCGCCGCCTGCCTCTCCCTCCCCCAGGAGCTGTTCGACATGGTCGTCAGCTGGACCCCGGCTCTCAATTGTGGCCCCGAGCTCGTCCCCAGGTTCGACTTCACCGACTGCGCAAACTCGGCATGCACGGAGTCGAAGAACCTGACCATCTGCTACCTGCGGGAGGGGATGAAGGAGGAGGATTTACCTGTCCTCTCTTTCAGGATGAGCGAGGACGGCCCTCTCCTCTTCCTCCCGCTGGCCTCGCTTATGATCAACGTATCTGCTCCCTTCTCCTCCTCGTCATCCTCCTGCTCCCCTCTCTAAGTTGCTCCTCTTCCATTCCGCCCCTCCACTGCTTTCCTCCTCTCACTCTCTCTCGCTCTTCCTGCCTCTCCTCCTCCACCTCCACCACCACCACAACCACAACTACCACCTCCTCTTCCTCTTCCTCTTCCTCTTCCTCTTCCTCTTCCTCCACCATTACCATAATTTCCTTTCCGCCCTCTTTGAATTCTTCAAGTCAATGTTCGTTCTCCCGAGCTTCCTTCTACCTCTCCTTCCTCCCCTCTCCCACTCCTTCGCATCCTCCTTATCTCCGTCCTCCTAACGCATCTCCTGCAGGATCGACCTAGCGGGAAGCCGAGGGTCTGTCTCAACCCGGCCGACTCGATCGCCATGTACCGCACAGAGCAGATCAAAGATCTCCTCTACTTCCCTAAGGTCCATCCTCCATCGAGCTCCTCTTCACCTCCCCTTCCTCCTCTCCCTCCTTTCTCTCACAACAAACCTCCCCTCACCCCATCCTGTCCTTCGTTCTCCTGCATCTCTCTCCCCCTTCCTCTTCCTTTCCTCGTTCACAATCTTCTCCTTTGCTCTTGTTTTTGAAACAGCAGACATTTGACTCGATCTTCCCGTTGTTTGACGCATTTTCATGCTTGCGCACCTTGTTTCTTACCTCGCTTCTCCCACTTGTCTAACGATCGTGTCAGATTTCGTTTGGCACGCTAGCTCTTAGAAATCTCTTTACTTCATTTGACATGAGAGCGATGTCGGTTGGGATGAAGAACAAAATGTTGGTTCCTCTCCTGCGCCATTGCCAATCGTGTTCCCTCTCTCTACCTTCTACCTTCCTCTTCCTCTCCCTGCTCTGCAACCTTCTATTATGCCTCTCTCCTCTTTACGTTGCGCTTATTCCTCGCTTCTCCAACTCCTTTAGCCTCATGTTGTTTTTGCCCTCGTCTTTCTTTTCGTCTTTCTAGTTTTCCATCTGAACTTTATCTAGGACCTTCGACTCCACTACCTATGCTGAGATAGGTCACCTGCTCGCTCTCTGTTTCCCTTCTCTCCATCGCCGTCCTCTTCCTCCCTTCTCCCCCCCTACCTTCTTGTCCCTTCCTCCGCCTCCTTCAACATAGGCCTGCTCCGCATCTTATTCCTCCTTCTCCTCCTCCTCCTCCTCCTCTCATCCTCCTCCTCCTCTCATCCTCCTCCTCCTCTCATCCTCCTCTTCCTCCTACTGCTACTACTACCACCACAATCACTCTTCCTTCTGCTGCTGCGAGCCTTCCACTGGTTCTCATGCTCCCTTGCAGGTGTCTGCTCGAAGCCAGTGACGTGTCGAGGAGCGCAGACCTTCTATGCTCCCATGAATACTTGCGTCGATCCTGACTGCGAGCAATTCTACTTCCACGAGCTGGATCAGGTCCCTCCTCCTCCTCCTCCTCCTCCCTCGCTTCTCCTCTTCCTTTTCCTCCCCACGCACGATCCATGATTGTTTTTCGATGTCCATGTAACCCTCGCCTTCCCGCTCTCATCTCTTTCCTGTGCAGGACACGAAGACATGTCGTCTCAACAACTCCTTCCTCATCAGCTGTATCGTCGTCCTCCTCTCCTTCACCATGGCTGAGGTCGCCCTGAGCGAGATCTACGAGACGCTCTCTCGCAAGCTCATGCGCAACTATGCCTCCTCCATGTAGCTACCTCCCTCCTCCTCCTCCTCCTCCTCCTCCTCCTCCTCTCCCGCCCGGTCCTCCTCCGCCTCTTCGACTCTGTCTTTGTATCTTTGAATTTTTTAAAGCTGAGCGGATATTGCCATCGTTTTGGGGAGAAGGTACAGGAACGCTTCCTTCAATACTTCCTTCACCTCCTCCTTCACGTCCCTCCTCCTCTCTCCTCCTCTCTCCTCTTCTCTCCTCCTCCTTCTCCTTCTCCTTCTCCTTCTCCTTCTCCTCCTCCTCCTCCTCCTCGCCTTCCTCCCCCCCTTCTCTTCTCTTCTTTCCCTCCTTCACCTCTCCTGCTCTCCATCATGGAGGGTGGTTTGAGTACGACAGCACAGCAGGAGCAACGAGAGTTTACTTGCTGTCTGCTTCCTCCTCAAACTCACTTGTCCGACTTGGTCGCACTGGAGGAGCGGGTGGAGGAGGCACGAGGGGGGCTGGAGGAGGGTCAGAGAAGCAAGCGGGGAGGGAGAACAGTACAGGGAAGGCTGGATGACCAGGTTGCTGTTGACCACCCTGACGAAGAAGTCAGAAGACGAAGGAGAGGAGGAGGAGGCGGTGGAGATGGAGGAGGGGAAGGGAGGGATGAGGAGTTGACGGTGATGGAAAGGGACAAGCGAATGATGAGAGCATGAAGGACTGAGTAGAAGACAGGCTTGAAGAAGAGGAGGGAGAAAAGGAGAGCGAGGAAGGGACGGGGAGGAAGTGGGGGGGAGGGGGAAGAGCTTCACCTGCTGCTGTGCTCAGGGAGGAGATCACGTTGAAGGGGAATTGTAAGAGGCTCGTTGTCGTGGCCGAGCACCTGGAGGAAGGAGAAGAGAAAGGGAGGAGAAGAGGAAGGGGAGGAGAGGGGGAAGTGGGAGCAAGAGGAATGGTGAATACGAAACAAGAGAGGCAGAGAGAAAAGAGGAGGGGAGGGGAGAGGAGAGGAGAGGAGAGGAGGGGAGGGGAGGATATGCGAGAGGAAAGGAGGGAGGAGGCGAGGGGGAGGAGGGAGAAGAGAGGGGGGAGGGGGCAGGAGGGAAGGGGCGAGAGGGAGGAGAAACAACAGCAATTCACCTCATGAAGTCTTCCTTTGAAGCGATAGAGCACATAGCTGCGCCGCGATGTCACATGGCAGTTAAGAAAATAGAAAATGCGAGGACAGAGGGAGCGAACGATCAGAGGAGGAAGAGAAAGAAGTGAAGCAAGGGAAGCAAGTGAAGCATGTGAAGCAAGTGAAGCAAGTGAAACAAGTGAAGCAAGTATTGGGGATGGGGGAAGAAACATCGAGAGGGAAGAAAAGGTCAAGAGAGAGGAGGACTTGGACGTGTAGGGCAGGAAGTAGGAGGAAGAGAAGGAGGAGAAGGAGGAGAAGGAGGAGAAGGAGGGGGAGGAGG